TATGGAGAAATACAGGGAAAACATTTTTTTCTTTCCACATATAACCACCCCACATGGCAATACTTTTAGTCAAACACAATTTTATTTACTTCTAATTATCTTCTTACTGGAGAAGTCGCTGGCTCACATTTTATAAATTTTAGTCCAATTCTAATCAAAATTAACAAGTATTTGTTTCTATGATTTTTACAATCTGGGTATTTTCCATCATACTTGCAGGTATACCCAGCCTTGTGACACTGCAAGGTGAGGTTGTCAACTATAAAATTCATGCTCAAGAATATGCAATTTAGATACCAAAAAAATTACAATGTTTTAATTATGTTTCCAGTGTTTGTGTTGGGTTGTATTCCTAGCTGCCCTCAGCTGCATGTGACCCATGGATTTCAGGATGAAGAGACCAAGTGTGAGGGAGAACCGGTATCAGCCCCACTTCACACTTTATACTCAGCAATAATGCCTGCTGCTGATCAGTGCTTAGCAGACACCTGGATGAACAAATGACTTGCTCCATGTGATCCTTGTGTTTAGTTGTGGACATGCACATTCACAATCCTTTATGTCATGCGATGTGCAGTGTCATCAGCTTCTCTTCACAGAACACATATGTTCTACCAATGTCAAAAATAACTAGCCAGTAAACTCGCCTAATTTCGATGAGTGCTATTTTGTACCTTTCAACATTTTGGAAAACTAGTTTCCTTCTGGTATGTTTCTTTTGCTCATCCACACCAAGCATAAAAGTCCTAAGTGGGAGGGTAAACAGGAACCTGTTTTATTTCTCAGCCATTTCAGTGCTGGCTTGGTACCCAGCTGCGTAAGCGCAAAATAACAATTTGAAGAATTACTCAAATGCCCTTTCCTTTCCTCATTCTGTGAGGTAGGCAAACCTTTCCACTAGACACTTTTACTGTCCTCTAGTTAATCAGTTAAACAATAAAAGGTTATAAAATGCTATAGCAATATTTGTAGAATATGGTGATTATAAAAACTTAATATGAAATAATAAAAATTTTAAAATGGGATGTTTCCAGATGATTTCTCATACTAATCTCTCATCCTTTATCATTGCTGTGTTAGCAACTTCGGAAAGTGGTACCATATCAGCTTCTTGGGTTGCTGTTTAATTCAACAAGTTCTTCCCCGTGTACCACCACCACCATCGACTTTCTGTTTTATGAGTGGGAAAAAAGGTAGTGTAGATTATGGCTTGTAATACTTAGGAGAAAAGTAATAATGGAGAAATGCAGATATTTGCTGATACTTGGCCAAATGCTAGGCATCTGCACTATGTTCCTCCATGTTAGGATAGATCATGTTCTAGCCCCATTTGCTTCACTGATGAGAATGAATAGCAAGAAGATAATTTTCTACAGCTCTAAGTGTGAGAGGCAGGATTTTATCTCATATGTTTGCGATCTCAAAAAACCATAGAACAGTTCATTGAGCTTATGATTACGTACATTTTTATTTGTGACATAAAAATTATGAAATAAAACATACTACATGAAACTAACAAGTAACTTACACAGAGACCAAATGACAGCATGAGTCGTAAAGGGCTCCTGCAATATACGTTCTCCAGAAAATTGAATTTTAGCCATACATATATGTGTGTACGCGCGTGCTTTGGTATATGTTAAATGCCAATTCTTGAAAATTTATAACTATAGATCTGGATAATGAGTAAAACAAGTATCTGATTTCGCCCCTATATATATATATATATATATAGAGAGAGAGAGAGCCATATATATATGGCTAAAATTAAATTAAATTAAATTATATATAAAAAATATATAATTCAATTATATAGATAATATATATAATTCAATTATATATAATATATATAATTCAATTAAATTATATATAGCCATATATATGTATATACATATATTATATTTTATATGCTGAATATATTATTTATATAATATATAATATATAAATAATATATATTATATTTTATATGATATAATATATATAAAATAATATATATTATATTTTATACACTGAATATAAAATGCCTCTCCCATAAAATGATGATGATGAATAAAAGGCATCTCTTGTGCTTATTTATGGATGAGTCAAAATTGAATAAAAAAATCTAAGGATCAATATTAAAATATTTACTAATCAGTTTTGTAAAGAAAGTGGTTTCCCTTAAGCAGCACTGTAGAATGACTGGACTGTATCATGGGCACACATATAGAATTATGAAACTGCAGAGACACTGGAGTCTACTATGGACACAAAGACAGACAGACAGACACACACACACACACACACACACACACACACTCACAGACGCACATCTGTGTAGCCCTGGCTGTCCTGGAACTAGCTTTGTAGACCAGCCTGGCCTCAAACTCACAGAGATCCACCTGCCTCTGCCTACCAAATATTGGCATTAAAGGTGTGTGCCACAACCACATATAGGATTATGATGTGTGTGTGTGTGTGTGTGTGCTTACGCGTGCGCTTTGGTACATGTTAAATGCCAATTCTTGACAATTTATAACTATAGATCTGGATAATAATTAAAACAAGTATCTGATTTCGCCCCCAGTTATGTTACTTTTATCGAAAGAGATGTTTTCATTTTACCCAGAGGTGTGAACAACACCAAAAGGGTGAAACATGAGAAACATCCATTAGAAAGCACCTTAATTCCACTTTTCCTCCACTATTTCAGTCCACAGTGTTGTTGAGACCACTTTCTGTTCCATGCCAGCAGATGACACAGAGTGTAGGGAGTGGAGGAAGCCCCAGAGTGAGTGAATAGTGTTTTGACACAGGCACGTCCATATCACAGACTCCAAGGCCAATGGAATCATGAGAAACTGGCTAAGCTTTTATCCGTATGGGTTTGACTAGAGATGGTAGGCAAAGCTTTCCTTAGACTCTGAGTGTTTATCAATGACTGGTCATTGTGTACTGACTAGCAACTGTGGCTTCCTCCCCTCAGATGGCTACAGCCTGAGCCTGCCCACTCACAGAGAACACTGACTAGCCAATCCCTCCCACTGAACTGTCCCTAATAAACATGCCAAGCCCAGGTTGGTGCTGTTGGGAAAATCCAACCTGATCCCAGCTTCACTGTGTGTGTATCTATCCTGTGTTTGTCTTTTCTTCATTCCCCCCCACCCCCCACCCCTAGGCAGGGTGTGAGAACCCAAGGCCCATGGGCCACAGCAACAGAGAGTGTTAGAGAAAGCAGTGAATGTCTGTTTCTCAAACTTGTCGACTGAAACTCCTGAATCAGGAAATTTTTAACTTTGTTAAAGAGGGGAGGTGAAACTTATTTGAGTACTAGGAAGAAATTTAATATTGATAAAATAATAACTTCCAGTGGTAAACACACAGCTCTATATAGATGTTTATAAACAGCCTGCCAAGTTTTCAATAATATATCATCTCTCAATATTGAATCCTATCTTTTACCAGAAGCAAAACAACCATGTTTCCCCACATTTTATGAGAAGACAGTGGTTTATGCATTCATTGATCATGTTTTAATCATGGGCCTCAGTCGTAACACAGTGTCAAAGCAAAAAGCAATATTGAGCAAGTCTAATCCTAGCATCATGTCTGGCCTCTGAAGACAAAATACACAAATATGCATTCAGTTTCATAGAGAATAAGTCAATAATGTGAGATTCTATATTTTAGAAGGGTGGCTTAGTATTTGTGTTTGTATATAGGAAAGAATAAAGATACAGTCTATGAGATTTCCATTTCTTTTCTATTAAAACCTGTGGAAACCAAACATTTATAAGTAGAATATTACGCTGTCTACAGCTGTATTAACTACCATAATGAGTGAAATAACTAGATAGCATCCACATGAGCATGCGAGAGAGTATCTTCTTATCTCCTAAAACCTAGAGGTACCATTAATACTACACTTTGGAATATTTCCATTATAACTCACCCTGTTATTTAAAACAATAGAAGCTTAATTCGAAGACGATTAAAAACTAAATCTATATGAAATTTTACGGGTAGACATCTCTCTTTGTGGCAGGTTGTGGTGGTCTGAAAGAGAATGGCCCCAGAGGCTCATATATTTTGAATGCTTAGTCACCAGGGAGTGGAACTGTTTTCGCAGAATTCGAAGGATTAGGAGGTGTGGCTTTGCTGCAGTGTATGAGGCCTTGTTGGAAGAGGTATGTTGCTGGGCTGGGCTTTGAGGTTTCAAAAGTCCATGGTAGTCCCTGGGGCTCTCTCTGCTGCCTGTGGAGTAGAGTGTAAAGCCCTCTCCGACTCCTGCATGCTTCCCACTAGACTCATCTTCTGCAACTGTGACAAGCCCCCACGTTCATGGCTTCTTTTGTAAGTGGCCTTGGACACGCTGTGTCTTCACCATGAACAGAGCAGTAAGTAAAGACAGGCTCTGATTATATTTACCTCGGTGGTCTCTGTACAGACCAGGCTGGCCTCAGATTATCAGAGCACTCTCTGCCTCTGCCTCCCAAGCTCTGTGATTAACAAAAGATTCCACCACACCTGGCTGAACCACTTTTAATATCAAAATAACTTAAAAGGCACTTAGAAATAAATGCCTAGATCTCATGAAATTCATCTTTACGGAATTTTATATTACTGTCATTTTAAAAGTTCAAGTTTGAACAACTACAAAAAAAAAATCTTCTTATTTATCTGAAGACAATCACAATGACCAATGTCTATAGGGATTTACATAATTTCATTTTACAATTAAGGCTGCCCTTCCCACTTTACCATTCAGGGGAAGTGTTTCTTTGTAAATGAAGAGATCAAAACCCTGACATGAAATGACTCAGCATATGGACTTAATACAGCTAAGGGAACTATCCACAGAAAAGCAGCTGCTCCAAGCAGGGATCTATTCAGAGTGGCCAACTGGAGGTCCTGCAGGGGTCTACACAGAACTCTTTGAACACAGAGTCTGCACACAGTTTAGCTGAAAAAGGCATGGTCTTCTCTAGTGCTGAAAAACATCAGGACTTCAGGCCTCTTACCTTTGCCATGGCTTCTCCCGTCCTCCAGGAGCGGCACAACAATTGTGTTGTTCACATTTCCGGGTGAGCGTACAGCTGTGTAGACAACCGGCACTGACTGAACCACCACAGGGATTCGATGAACGTGACTGAGTTTGTTAGACTGTAAGTTCATGGGACTGGAAGGTGGGACAGGGTGAATGATGTGTAAAAACTGCTGGCCGCCCACGCCGGACGCAGAGGCAACAAGGGGTCCTGGAGATAACACTGTTGACGAGGAGGGTGCTGACGATACTGACGTTATGACGGTGGGGGAGGAGGCTGGACGACTGGAAGAAGACGAAGAGGTGGAAGTTGACGAGGGTGAGGAGGCAGACGCTGTCATGGAGACGGGAGAGGTGGAAACTGCGGTAGGGGAGGTCCTGGCTTTGTTGATGGACAAGTCCACTGGCTCAGTTTGTGTCTGGAAGTGGTCGACAGGCAGTGAGTCCTCCGGAGGCTCCCCTTTCACGTTATTTAGCAAGAGGGGAACAGCTTCCATATCGGGGTAGTTGTGGGCTTTTGGGGACTGCGGGGAGAAAATGAAACAGGTTTATCGTTACTAATGACATATTTCAATAGATGTGTGACTTATTTGAAAGCGTATTAATTTTTCACTTATTGCAGTGGGACACTGTTCATTCACTGAAATATTCCAAGAATTTTTCTTTAACCGTCACAATGACAATTAAAAGTGCAAAGTACGACAGAGTAGGGAAGTCCTTTCACATGAGGACATTTCCAGTCTATTGTAAAAACAAATATGCAACCTCTTAAGTGAAAGTAAAAAACGACCACTAAAAGTCATGTAAGATCTTTCAAACGACAACCTCAGAGTGTAAAGCATAAAGCATCACTTAGGACTGTGTAAACAGGACTTACTTAGTCACAACACTCTCTTTGTTCTGAGTTGTTTATGTACTGTACTAGGAGTCTGTCTCCGTGTCTTTTGTTATAAAGCAGTGAGAGTTTTCGATAGATGAACTGAAACGCTCTCTCCAGCTCTGGAGTTCTGCAGTTTTACCCATGTGCGACATGATCCTGGTCTGGAGGCAGCAATCTGGGGAAACTCGCTGTGACCTTTCTACACTCATGTTCAAGCACTACTAATGCATGTTCGTACAGAGCAGTCGAAGGCACACCGAGTTCTCCAGGCTCTCCAGTCTGGTCATCAAGTTCCCGGAGTTATATCATTGGAAATGGCTGGATTTTAACAATAAGTGCCTGCAACATTTCACTTCTTAAGAAACTGCACACAATCAGGACACATAAACTTGAGGAGACAGTTTTCAGAAAATCCCATGTAAGAAAATTTAAATTGTTTATTGACTTTTGTTTAATATAAAATGACAATTTTTTATTTAAGTTCATTTGTACTCCTGTAGGTTTTAATGAGAAAAGTTTAATAATAAATACTCTATAGCTTAGTACCCTAACATTCTCAGCATAGTGTTAGTGGGCATGAACCTATTAATTCCTATCTTGAACAAGTAACACACTAACATTCTTAGCATAGGATAAATGGTCATGAACATACACCTATTAATTCCTATGTTAAACAAGTATTTATGAAATGCATACTTCTGGGACCGAATGGTCCTTGTTCTGTTGGAGTGTGTCCGTAGAGCCTTAATGGAGATAACCAGACGGCAGCAGACTATTTTGCTACATCTAATTTAACCAGGTCAACATTCAACATCTAATAGAATAGTATTATTCTATTAGATGAAAAGCCCAAATCGTTATTTTCAGCTTTCATACGGTATGGGAACAACAATTATGTTAAGTTGGTCATTTCATTCTTCATTTTTTTTCACTTGCTATTCTTCCTGAAAACATGAAGATGCATTTAAAGCTTTTAAAAGAAACATTGTTCTTAAAAACTTTCATTATAGAATATAAATTATAGTTCTCTTCAAAGCATACAATAGGCAGTAGTGCAAAGGGCATTTTAGTCAGCCACAATGAAAAGGGAAAGAAAAATCAACAGTGGCACCAGATCGAATGAAAGGGAAATGGGTTGATGTTTTCATGCTTTTTTCCCTCTTCTTGGCTAAAACGGTTGCCGGCAAAAGCATATGAATTAGAACTATAAAAGGTGGCTGATCTGCAAGGCCTCCCATATGGAATTCTAAATAGGATTTGCACATTAGGTACTAAAGCTGAGAAACAATTTTATAAGCCATCCCAAACACATGAAGAAACAAACACCCAAACACCATCGATTGCACTACTTTCGTGCAAATCTGCAGACGTTATCACTCTTCCTATTAAAACAGTATGTTTATTCTTAGCATCATCAATAGGGTTTTGTTTCTTAGCAATGACAATATGAGTTGTTTCTTATCAGTATTTTATGCATACATGAAAGCCCGTGTTGATATTGCTTTTTCTAAGAGCAACTGGTTCATAATCCAAAATATAAATCATTAAACGGTACCAATCTCCTTGACTACACATATCCCTGATTCGTTACGTATTAGATAAATTTGAGAATCTTAATTTGGAAACAATGGTTATTTTTACCTCACATAAAAACAGGCTTTTACCAAAAGGGAGCTGGGGAGTATTGCATCCCTGTAGAAGCAGTTCCTAACAGAAATGAAAGAGTACATTGGCAGATCATGACAAATAAATTGGGACATATGGAGCTTAGGTGAAGTGATGGCTTCCAAGGCATCAGGAATCACTGAGCTCTAGGAGGTGGCCTAACTTCACTGTATGGTGGAAGAGAACCCACCATTTGCACGACACTAATTCCCAACTGAGGAAAATACTTCTTCCAAGTACCATGGTATAGCAACAGAAACATCAGAAAAGGACTTCTTCTCAGGCCCATTAGATAGACTAGAAGCTATGAAGACAAAACACAGAAAATCCCTAGCTGCTCCCAGACACCCAAAATCTACCCAGCTTCCACCGATGCTCAAAGTCTAATAACTAGGACACATAAACCTTGAAGAATTGTGCATGGATTTATAAACGCAAACATCACAGAGACACATGGTGGCCCGTCTCTATTATGCAGCCGTTGAAATGAAGCCTGTCTATTAAGTAATGCCCTATCCTTATCAAGACAATTAAAATCTTCACGGGACCCTTCATTTGTTTTCACTGTGGGCAGTGCATCCTATCCCAAAAGCCATTGCTAATCTCTTGGACACATAACATTGTGGCAGATAAAACTGTCGGTACCTCCAGCTTTGGGCTGGACAGACCTATCTGTGAAGTCAGCTATGTTACAGGATAAGGCCTCTCAATATCTATAATAGAGCCTCCTTCCTCCTTTTAAGAAGTGGAAAAAACCCACAAGATTCAACCCCAGGGGATCATCATTGGGTATTTATCTCCTTGCTTTCCAAAAGTGGTAAATTGAAACACATTCATTCTGAGGCTTGGATCTCTAAGTGGGAAGCTGGAGTGAGGTGCTGGGGACAGAGTCGACTGCCAAGAGGGAGAAGAAGCAGAAGGAAACAGAGAAGATGGAGAGAGTGCTGAGAAAGCCTGAGAGCAAAGTGAAAGATGGGAGCACATGAAGAAAGGGAGGGGCAGGCTTCCAAGGGGAAGGGACAGCAAACAGGCAAGAGAAATGGAGACTGTAGGTTTTACAAGAGGCATTTCTTTCAAAAGAACGAAAGAACTGCACAGAGAAGTTTCACCTTTCATCAGCAACTCCTAAATTCTTGACACGGCCATGGACCTCTTACAGCAGTATCGACTGAGAGATGTTTGTGGTTTTCTAATACAAAATGATTTTGCCTTGGCAAGCTGTCACAGAAGTTGAGTTTCCCTGTTGCTTCCCCCGGTGTGGAAGATGAAACTCTCATTACATTCTCACTGTCCAACAAGAACAACACACTTTCTAATGCCACAAGCAATATACAGGAGTGCTAGATGTTTGTCAAAGAGGAATGACGTTTCATTCTCCAAAGGGCTATATCCTACACCGTGGAAGGGTCCACCGTAAAATTTCAACTTTTTAATGATGTTTTAGAAAATAATAGTATAAATACACACAAAAGTCCAGCAACATAAGTCTAATGATGTACTTCACACACCCCGGAAAATTTGTGTGCAGGCCTAAACACAAGCAGGATGACCTAGGGCATTATTATTTGCTTCTCATGTCAGAAACTTGGTTTTATGCACCATAACCCACACAATAAGATGTTACACATAGCATCCTAGTGACGTGTTCACGTAAGCATGTGCAGGGACACAGTTGAGTCTTGCTAATCAACAACTTTCTTCTGAAAAAAAAAATTTTAAATGAAACTTCAGCTGTAGACATTTTTGTGGAAGGAATGTACAAAGGAGCCCCAAGCCTCCCATGTGTTATTTCCTGGAGAGTCCTAGAAAGGTTTCCCTCCCTCGGCCAGCCATTACCAACAGCTGAATCTTTTTTATGGCCTGCCAGGGAACATAGAGCATCTTTAATTGAGATTCTGTGTTTTAATCACCTGCAAATCTGAAAAGAAACAACTATGTATGGACAACACCCTTCATTTGGAAATCTCTTCAGAGGTACATAGAAGTGTCCTGGTTAAAGGGTATTTAAATAACTGGCTATGAACTGTTATCCAAGGTGTATGTGGTGCCTGTTACACCTTTAATAGGACAAGAGAGTTGTAGGGATGTCTTACACAGAAATTGCATATTAACAACTATATCAATCATTTCAATTAATTATGTTTTATTTCAGTTTTACAAAAAAAATTGAGCAATAATTTCAAACTAACTTTTTAGGAAATGTTTAGAAAACAATTTACCCAACATCATGTCTCTTTCCTAAGCTGTTCTGAAATACTATTACAAAAAGAAAATAAAACTAGGAAAAGAATTCCAAAGACTTGAACTGATGACTTAACCTAGCTTACTTTTTATAAGCAGTGTCATCTTGAATTTTCTAAAGTTTCTGGTTTTCAGAATAGAAAAGAGTTCTTAGTTCCAGACTTGTAAAATTGTTGTGAAGATTGAACTGATGGCATCAAGTTCTCCAAGCAGTAAAAAGATAAGCAAATGACCAGAGTTCTTTCTTCTTGGAAGTAAAAACTGCAAACAAAGCCAACCTATTACCAAAGTGTCTGAGAGTTGAAGAATTCAATGTATTCTAGTGCAAGACTGAAGAAGAGTCACTGATGGGGTACAGCAAAGCAAGTCGATTCACGTTACACACATCAGATGCTTAGAACATACCCTGGTTATTTAACTCTTTTAAAAAAAATTAGTCTGATTGATCCACCAAAAACAAACAAACAAACAAACAAACAAACAAACCCACCGTATCCTAGCTGAAACACATTTTATCTGATTTCTTAATGCTACAATATAAAGAACTCCAAAGAGCATAGTTGGTCATCTATCTTCTAACACAGCAGTAATTTGGTTTTATGAAGGTCAGAGTCTGGCTTAATGTTAAGACTTGTGATTGAAAATGTGTGTTCTGGGGCCTGGGGGAAGGCTCAGCAGTGAGTATGTGTGAGGGTGTGAGCTGCTGAGCATTGAGGGTGCGTGCCTTTCAGTGGCTCA